TCCTCATTTTGGGTGTTTCCTGATGTGGAGCCAGACTCCGGCACTGCTTTAACACACATTTCCGCTCCCACCAGGGGCTGCTGTTTCTCTCCAGAAAATCAAGAGCATAGCCATCCTTATCATCTCCCTATACTGCGGGCACCCACAAGGCCCAGAAAGGAGGGTAGATGTGGACTCCCTCCCCCCCCCCCCTTTTGGGATGAGCATCCCCATGCTTCTGCTGGCTCCCCAGCCCCACCACAGGGTGCTCCCTGCTCTCCACAATTGCTTGGCCTCCCTAGACTGCACCAGCTCCATGGTCAGTGTTTGCCTCTTGCCGGGGGAGAGGCGGCAAGGAGGGCAATTACTGCAGGGCAGAGGCTTGGAAGGGTTGGCAACAGGTCAGATGGGTGCTCTGGAGAGCTCAGGGACAAGGTGTCCCATCCTCACCCTGGCCAATGAATTGTCAAGGGGCAGTGGTGCCCCAGGGTCCATTGCCCCTTCAGACACATCCTTTTAGCACTAACTGTGGCCATGCTTCACCCAGTCCCAAATGCCCCAAGATGCAGGTGATCATCATCTTTATCACCTCCAGTCTCAAAGACTCCCTTCCCCACATTCACTCATCTCCCAGCCGCAGGCCCTGTAGGGCCCAAATCACAAGGACCAGCTAGGCCAGGCCCTGCCTGAGCCCCCCACAACTCAGGCTCTTACTCGATAGTCACTGGAGGTCACATAGAAGATGGGCAGGAAGGCAAGCCAGATGATGCAGGTTGTGTACATTGTGAACCCAATGAACTTGGCCTCATTGAAGTTTTCAGGGCATTTCCGTGTCTTGAAGGCATACACTGTGCACAGGACAATCAAGAGGACGTTGTAGGTGAGTGAGATGAGCATGTTGGAGTCACGGTTGTTGCACTTAAGGGTAACGATGTACCGCTTGTCAGGCTCGGTCTCCTTGCCTGTGCCAGGGGTCTCCACCAGCAGCCAGATAACAACAATGATCAGCTGGCAGGAGATGAGGGCCATGCAGATGACCACCTGCGATGTGGGGCTTATGAACCGGGGGCGCTGCACCCCTTCCTTCACACCACTGAAGATCCTGGCAATGCGATTCGTTTTGGTCAAGAGGGCCGAATAGCAGACAGCGAAAGATGTGCCCAGGCCCAGGCGCCGGAGTGTGCACACCTCAGTGGAAGGCTTTGCAATGAAGATGAAGGTCATGCTGTAGCACATAAGGACCCCTGTGAGGAGAATGTAGCAGAGTTCCCGGCCTGAGGCCTTCACGATGGGGGTGTCATTGTTCTTGATAAAGACCCCAAAAACAAAGAGAGTGGAGATAAATCCCAAGCAAGAAATAGTGACGGGACCAATGGCCCAAACATCTTTCCAGCGGATATACTCTTGGGGCAACTCAAAGCAACCATTCAGGGTCTCGTTGGGCCAGTAACCAAGACCACAGTCCATACAGGTGAATTCATCCAGCAGGTATTCATAAGGCTGGCAGGGGATGCAGATCCAGCAGCATATGTCTCCGGGCTGCATGCTCTTTATCTCATTCTTCTTGCATGGGTCACTGCACTGGGACACAGGAACAGACATCTCAGCCCATGGGATGAGGCTGGTATTGAGGATGAGCCCCTCGGCCCAGTAGCCCACCTTCTGGTACTGGTACCGCCCATCCATGTGGTGATAGTTGAAGATATTGTAGCGCCCAATCCCATCACCATAACGGTCAAATCGAACAACGCTCTTGGTGTCTGCTGGCCTGAATGGAGCTGAGGGGAGGAGATGGGGCTACAGTCACTGCTCAGAAAGCTGGTGCCACACTGCTAGCAAGCTGCAGCAGCATTGCTCAGTGTAGCCCGCTGACACCCCCCCGCAGATGGTGCTGCATGCAGAGGATTGAAGGGACATGTCCAAGCTGCCATGGTCAAGGACAAATTTCCAGCCTGTTCCCCACCTTTATGATAACTCAGCAGTAATTGCTTCCACAGACATAGTAGGATCATGAAAGCAATGGTGGAGAACTATCTCCCTATATGTCTAAGGCTCTGGCCCCCAGGCCAGCTCTCCCAGGGCAAAATGTTGGGGGGGGGGAGGGTATTTTTGTGCCCCTGTGCAGTATTATTGCCCTCCTACTACCTGAACAGCTCTGAATTATTCACAGGTAACCAGGTTCAGCCCAGATTATGGAGGAGATGCTTCAGATTCACCCCCAGATCTGTGGGTCCCTGATCAAGGGTCTCACAGAATCACAGAATCACACAGAATCACAGAATCGTTTAGGTTGGAAGGGACCTCTGGAGATCATCTAGTCCAACCTCCCTGCTCAAGCAGGGTCACCTAGAGCATATTGCCCAGGATCACATCCAGACGGGTTTTGAAAATCTCCAGGGAAGGAGACTCCACTACCTCTCTGGGCAACCTGTTCCAATGCTCTGTCACCCTCACAGTCTCCCTCCAATTTAGTTCCTGAAACAGGGGACTAAACTACAGAGCATGCCACTGAAGTCTCCAAAGACCCTTTGAGGAGGGGGGAGGGAGGGGGAACTTCTAGCTCCCAGTCCCACACAGCCGTAGTAGTTTGCTAGCTTCTCCTGGGACTGGAAGGCTTGGATTTCCTCCAAAGGATGATGCTGTGCTGTTTGTGTCCTGGCAGAGCCACAGCCCACTGTGTGGGGGCTCCCAATTTGGGCATACTGGAGGAATTGAGGGGTTATAGGTGAAATCTGGCTTGCCTTGGTCTTCCCTGCCCTTCCACCCATCCCTTTCAGATAGGCAGTCAAACCCCTTCTCCACATCCAGACTCACCATCAAAATTAACGTTGAGCATGAAGTCCTTGTAGAACCTCTTGCCATTGACAGGCTTCATGGAGTCGCAGAGTTTGGTGGCATTGGGGCATAGCGCCTGGTGCATGTTGTGAAGAGAGTGAGCCATGGCATAAACTGCATTAACCACAAATGTGATCTTGGACTCCGGCTCAAACTTGCCTGTCTTTAAGGAGTACCGGCTACAGTCCTGGGTATGGAAGCTGCACTTGAATTTGTGCTCCCAAAACTCCCGAAACCAGGGATTTCGGCTGTTGTTGTAAGGGTTGAGATTACGGAAGTAGGCAGCAAACTCTTTAATGGGGTATGCTGCCAGCTCAATGGTGATGGCTCCCTCGGCGACAGCTTCTCTCCCAGCCACCACGCTCTCCAAGGCTCCCCACCCATCGCTAGCCACCCACATGAAGGATACATTTGCTCTGTGAGCAGCCGCCAGCAGCTCTCGGGCATCTTCGCTCCGGGTGAACAACACAACCACTCTGGCACTGGGCTTCTGCAGCAGGGCCCTGACCACACCATCATAGGTCTTTTTGTTCATGGAGCGCCCCACTTTCTCTGATGTAGCAATGCAGATGTTGCGCATGCGGGCTTCTTGCTCAAAGGCCTCTATGCCCGTCTCACCATAGTCGCCTTCCGAGGCCACAGTGGAGACGTAGGTCCAGTTGAAGAAGCGGAGGATCTCTGACATGGCCTTGGCTTGGTAGAAGTCTGGTGGGACAGTGCGGGCGAAGTAATCGTAACGGGACTTGTCACTCAGCTTGGCACTGGTGGAGGCATAGCTGATCTGTGGGATCTGGAAAAGCCGCAGCAGGTTGGCTACCTGCGTGGAGGAAGCGGGACAAACATAAGGTGCAAGGGACATTGCCCACGCTGCAGTCTGCTCCTGCAACTCTCCTGAAGACAGGACCCAGAGAGGGTCATTCCCCGCGTAAGGTCCCAGCCCAACACCAAATGTCAAAGGGCCAGCCAACCACCCTGTTGCTCCTAAACATGGTAGCGTGGCTGTAGAGCAATCCTGCATCTTGAGGCTCAGAGACCCTGACTGCTCAGCAACCAGCTTACGGTGCGCAGACATGGTAGGTGGAAGGGTACAGTCACACAATCGCCCAAGCCCTTGTGTGCATCCTGGAGCACAGCTCTAAGTGTTGTCCTTGTAGGGCTGGGGCAGCCTCAGCCCACAAGCTGCCTGCCAGCCCCCAAAAACCCACCAATCACATGTAAGAGCCTCTGCTCCTTTGTTTTGCACTTTTGCTGCCAAAGGTGGCCAGGCCTTGGCAAGGGTGGGGTTAGAGAGAACGGGGGAAGGACCCACAGGGGGCCCCCAGCCGTGACTGAGACCTTAGCAGGCTGTTGTGGCCCTGCAATGGGGCCATTCACTGGCTCTTGTCTGCTTGCCCCCCAGGCCAGGGAAGGGAGAACATGCTGCCTAGTGGGCAGAGGGACTTGGGGGTCATTTCCTCACCCCAGTCCCCCAGCTGCCCTGCGATTACTTGCTCTCAGGAAGCACAGCAATTACACCGGCTTCTCATTTCTTCCAGTTCCTGCTTATTCCTTTGTTTTTAATATTCATACTGTCCCCTCTGAAATTTGGGGTGGGGTGGGAGGAGAGATGAATGAGTAAATGGACTCATTGCAAAAGCAGAAAATCTGCCACAGGCAACCTTCAAGAGACAGCTTGTCCACAAGCATCAAGCCAATGCGCCTCACAGCCCTGCAGCACAATGAGGGCGCCCTCCACATCGCCACTGCCGGCAGGCAGGGAAAAAGGGC